GCGGCGGCGGCGCTGGTTTCCGTCCTGCGCACTCTGCGGGAGGTGCGTGCGCTGGCTGGCCGCGGCGAGGGCGCTCCCGTCGCCTCGCGTCCCCCGGTGGGTCGCTGGACCCGGCCAGGCGGAGGGCGGGCGTACGTGCGACGAGTCCGCCAAGTGACCTTCGTGGAGAGCCGGTGAGGTGGGTCCGCAGAAGCGTACTGTGGCTTCTCTCCCTGTGACGTAAGCGTTTAAAACATTTGATTTCTGTTGGATTATCTCTGGGCAAGAGGAAATAATACCGAGACGCTTTTGCTACATGAGTAGAAGGTAAGTAGAACATTAGGCAAATGAAAAATAGTGCTGCTTTCAACTCCACGGAAAAAAGGTTTTACGGTAAGTGTGAGAAGCTGTGAGCATGACGCTTGGCCCATTAGCCAGCAGTACTTAGTAATGTAACCTGCCAATTAAAAAAATAAAGAGATACTAGACAAGAAAGGGTATTTATTTGATTTGGAAATACAATCCTATTTCAGTTTTTGTTTTCGATTTTTTTGGGGGGGCGTTGAGACAAGGTTCTGCTATGTAGAATTTGTAATCCTGCCTCAGCCTCCTGAGTGTTGGGATTATAAAACTGCGCCGCCACACCCAGAGCTTGTGTATGCTCAGCAGGTACTCTACTGCCGAGTTACATCCCCAGCCTGCACGTATGATCCTGTTTACGCACTGGTTGCTGTGTGTGCATTTCTAGAGGGACGTATTGGATGAAATTATAGGTGGTGTAGTATTGGCAGAGCCTGTTACCGTTTCAGGCAGTTTGCTTCGGCTCTCCTAAGCAGTATTGCAGGGTTACACTGCCAGGAGGAGAGTAGTGGGCCTGGACCGAGGCGGCTCCAGGGCAGCCTGAACTGCGTGGTGAGACCCTGTCCCAAGAAAGGCTAACTAAGTAGAAGAAGTAGACCTGGCCCTCAGGGCAGTGCGTGAAGCTGTGAGTGCGAAGCAGAAGGTGCGTTGGAGAACCCGAAGTCCGGAGGAGCCAGGAGCGGGACGGTCTGGGGGAACCGCGAGGAGGCGGCGGAGCAGCGAGGGAAGCCCTGGGGCCGGGAGCGCCTGCGGTGCTGGGGGGAGCCACCGAGCCCCCTGGCTTCCCGGCGCGGCGGAGAGCTTGGGGCTGCACGTGGACCTAGTGGAGGCCTTCCTGTTTGCCCTGCTGGATTTTGCACTTGCTTTGGTTTCATCCCCTCGGCTCCCCATTTGTAGCTTTTGGAATGGTGATGCTTATCTTGTACATTGAATGTTGGAAGTGTTTAACTTTCTTGTCATTCGTGCAGGGGTTCACAGCCAAGACTGCCCTAAATCTCAGAGGAGACTTGGAACTTGGACTTTTCAACAGTGCTGCAACTGTTAGGATTTTGGCCAGGAAGAAGGTTATGACTTGTGTCTAATGGAGCTTTTTTTTTTTTTTTTTTGGTGGAACTGGGGATTGAGCTCAGCTCCTTGCACTTGCCAGGTAGTGCTTATTCTACTGAGCCATCTCCCCAGCCCCAAGGCTTGTTCTCTGTCTTGTTGTTTTTGCTGTTTTCTTCTGACATGAATTGTTGCCCCTCTGCCATGTGCACCCTGCCTTGAAGCGGGCAGATTATGAACTGAAACCTCTACAACCTGTGAGCTAAATAAACTTGTCCCCCTTTTAAAAAAGAAAAAGAAGTGGACCTGGAACTCGGTAGCACTCGCTCTTCCCCTGTTGGTCCCTAAGCCCTTTCCATGGCACGTCCTGCTCGTTGGACCTTGTACTGTGCTGGCCCAAGAGCGAGCTGGCTACCTGACCTTTATTTCTTCTGCATATACAGAGCAGGACAGAAGTCCACAGATGGAGAGAAAAGAACAGTAGTGTGCAAAGAAGCATAGAATGATGTACCGTAGGCTGGTTTATCCACACACTTTTTTTTTTGCTGCTCATGGGCTGCTTTGTCTGCAATATTCTTTTTTTTTTTTTTTTTTTTTTTTTTTTGGCGGAACTGGGGATTGAACTCAGGCCCTTGCACTTGCCAGAGAAGCGCTTATTCCACTGAGCCATCTCCCTGGCCCCAGTCTACAATATTCTTGCTTTTTTTTTCTTTTTTGTTTTGGTACCAGAATTTGGTACTGTGCCACTAAGCTAAATTCCCAGCTACAGTATTTTTCTTTCACTTTTTCCTGGCGGAACCAGGGGTTGAGTTCAGGCCCTTGCGCTTGCCAGGCAAGCGCTTATTCTACCCAGCCATCTCCCCGGCCCCTCCCCCTTTTATTGAGCCCTTGGGCTTGTTACCTAGTTCAGGCTGACCTTGAGCTCACGGTAGTTTTCTTCTGCCAGGTCTTTCCACCATGATGTTTCGGTCTCACCGCAGGCAGAACAGCCATGGAGCTGGCAGCCATGGACTGAAACCCCTGAAATAATGAGCCAAAAATCAACCTCTTCTCTTGTAAGTTGTTACCATCGGGGTTTTTTTTTTTTATTTTGCAGTCCTTAGGGTCGAACCCAGGGCCTTTGGGCGAGCTAGGCAGAGACTCTACCACTAAGCGGCAGTCTCAGCCCATCATCGAGTGCTGTGTGCCTGTAACAGAAGGCAGACTCGCATGATGTCCCACTAGACCCTGCTTCTTAAAGCACGCTGAAACCTTTGGGAAGCACTCAGACTCCTGAAAACTTAGCAACCTCTTTATCTTTCTATAGCACTCTCTCTCCGTTTCCTTCCCTCGCGTCATCTGCCAGTTCTTGTATCCGCTGTTCTTTAGTAAGCTCCTCGTGGGGACGGGTTACACCTCATTCGTCATTTTTAACCCCAGGGCCGTGGGCATAGCACTTATGTTGTTTTGGTTTTGAGACAGGGCCTTTCTATGCAGTTTAGGTTGGCCTTGAATTCACCATGTAACCTAGGGTGCCCTCGACTCGGTGATCCTCCTGCCTCAGCCTGTGTGTGGGGTACAGGGAATGCAGGTGAGTGCCCCATGCCTGCTGGCCGTAGCATTTATGACAACTTTCTCAATGAAGATGTTGTGGAGGGCTAGTGAGACAGCTCACTCAGACTGGGGTGCCCTCTCCAGCGCCTCATGTCACGCTGGCCCCGCCCCCAGGCTTGCTGAGCCAGCCACTAAGACCGGGTGTGGTGGTGTCCACCTATAATCCCATCGCTCAGGAGGCTGAAAACAGGAGAGGATCACTATAAATTCGAGCTGCTTAGTGAGGTCCTATAACAAATAAATTTTTATTTTATTATATATTTTTTGGAACTGGGGATTGAACTCAGGCCCTTGCACTTGCCAGGCAAGTGCTTATTCTACTGAGCCATCTCCCGGGTCCTAACAAATACATTTTTTAAAAAAAAAAAAAAAAAGAGAAGAGAAAATTCTGTGGAGTGGCTGGATGGAGACGGGTGTTGCAGTTCAGTAATACGCTGCTTACCTAGCATGCATGATGCCCTGGGCTTGACCTCTCATGAAAGAAAAATGGCCCGGCATGTGGTGCACACGTGCAGTCTAGCCCTTGGGAGGCAGCGACAGGGTATTGAGTTTGAGGCCAGCCTGGGCTGCACAGTGAGCTCAAGACCAACCTGAACTATATAGCAAGACCCTGTCTCAAAAACAAAAGGAGAACCAGGCGAAAGAGGAGGAGGAGGACCAGGAAGAGGAGAAGAGACAGAAAACTCCTTACCTAATGGCAGCCAGAAAGCAGAGAGAGAGACACACACAGTTACAGAGACAGAGAAGAAGGGGCTGGGGAACAAGATGAGGCGTCAAGGTTGCACCCCATGACCTTCACCTAGGTCCCACCCTCTGAGCTTCATTTACCACCCAGTAATCCCGTGAAGTTACGGAGCCATCTGTGCATTAATCCAGTCATGACCTATTCATCTTCCCAAAACCTATCAACTGGCAAACAAGCCCCTCTTACTGGACTTTGGGGTTCGTTTTAAACTTTTTTTTAGTGTTTTTGAGAAAGAGACTTGCTGTGCCTTTCAGGTTGGCCTTAAACTCACTGCAGCCTAGGCTGTCCTTAAATTCTTGGTGATCCTCCTGCCTCAGCCTCCAGAGTGCTGGGATTACAGTGTTGCATGACCACACCTGGCTTCTCAGAGAATCTTGTGGGCTGAGCCATTCATAGTTTCTACATAGACAGAGGGTTTCTGTGTCTAAAGCACAGTGGCAGTATATTTCCCAGTTGTCTTCATCATACTTACATTACATAGACTTTCCAGTTTTGTTTTGTTGTATTTTAGGGAAGGGTCTACAAGGTGTTCAGGGTCTCACTACTAGATCGGACTTGTAGTGATCTGCCTGTTTATAGCCTCCCAAGAGCTGGGATTATAGGCGCGCTACCACACCCAGTCTCAATTGCCCTCTCAGGGTGCCCCAGAGGTGGGGCTGGCACAGCAGGCTGGGGATCGAACCCCTGCTCCCTGCATCAGCTTGCAGGTGCTTTAATCCACTGAGCTATTCGGCTGGCTCTGACTTTCCAGTTTAAGGCGAACCTTTTAGAGCTTCCGATGATACAAACAGCCTGCTGTGGCATTTGAGCCATTGGTTTGTTGCCACTGGTTTCAGGTATTTCCCACACATTTCCGGAGATCTTTGGCACTTAAGGCTGAAAATCTGGTAAATGTCACAAAGGAAACCAAAGAATTAACTATGGGTTTTGTTTTGTTTTTTTAAAGAACACATTTTTAAAAAAAAATTATTTATTTGTGTGTGTGTGTGTGTGTGTGTGTGTGTGTGTGTGTGTGTGGCCAGCTCAGCCCACCTGGGGGCGGGGCTGGCTGGCATGTGGTCCTGGGGGATTGAACCGCGGTCCCAGTGCTTTAGACCACTGAGCCATCTCACCAGCCCTTGTTTTGTTTTGTTTTTTAATCACTTATACCCAGTGCGTTCCCTCTGGTTGTTAGTAGTTTGTAGGGTACAAAGGGACAAGGTCTGTGTCTGTGGGAACTTTGTGTAATTCTACAAAGAACCCTTTGACATCTAGACTTGATAAAACTCCAAGCTGTCTTGAGAATTACAGAGCATTGTGTTGTGCTAGGCAAGGCCCTACGGGAATGACACAGAGGCCTGGCTGACCTGTGGCCGCAGGACTTCCTGTGTGTCCATCCTGTGCCTTTCTCAGCGAGGCCCTCCGCACTCGTGAGCATGGCCTACTTCCACACTCTTTTAGGATGCCTGTCCTGACTTAACATGGGCTGCTGTACTGCCTTTACGCCCCCACAGTGCTGGATGAAGTTTGGGTGACTACAGCCATTGGGCCTATAGGGATCTGTTGGTCTCAGTTGGATCAGTTCTACCCGGGGAGCCATGATGGCAGGAATGAGAAAGATAGACAAAAAGACAAAAGCTGGGCTATGCGATCGCCGGTCTGCCTGATAGACAAGACTCATGTGCCAGCACAAGACCTACATTTATTTATTTATGCAAAGTTAGCAACACGAGACACAAGTGTAGAAATACAGATTTGAGACAAAAGCCTGATGTCCCAAGAAAGCAGGGAACAATAGAGTCTGAGGAGAGTTGCTGTCTGTTTGCAAATTCCCAGAAAGCTGGGATTCAAGGCAGCAGATAACAGCTTCTCCTGCAGGCGCCCTGTCCTTTGATCCCTTGCTTGGGATGTTATCGGCTAGCATTTGTGTGAACCTAGTGTTAGGCAGATGGTGGAAGTTAATAGAGATAGTAGTTCGTATTCACTTAAGTAATTATGCACAGTCCTTAGTTGCCTTTACCCCTCAATAAAAGTGAGATGCTTCTGAGGCTCTGGGCTCGCTTGGAGAGAGCCTAGTCTCAGTGAGCCCTCTGAAGCTACATTCATCAGGTCTTCTCGTCGTTTCTTTCGGCACCGACCCGTAACATACAACACACAAGGTTGCCTATTGACTAGCAGGCAATGTTAACCAGTCAGGATGCTCCTCAGGACTGCATCGCTCGTTTGCTTTAGGCACTGAGGCCTCGTCTCTCCTACACACCTCTGCTTTTCCAGCTTCCACAGCTCCCAACATGGCCGTGCACTGCAGTCCCAGCATCTCCATTTGGAGAGGACACAAAGCAACCGTGACATAAAATGGGTTATTAGGGTTAACACTGCAGTACTATTTGTCTGTGTCCCAAATAGCAGGACCAAGAGTTGAGCATAGGCCTTTGTTTTTTGGGGTGTGGGGGGCACTGGGGCTTTTTTCTTTTGAGGGTCTTGCTGTGTAGTATGTGCTGGACTTTAACTCAGTATGTAGCCAAGGCTGGCTTTGAACTTGTGGTACTCCTCCCACCTCAGCCTCCTAGTTACCTTTTTTTGTTGGACACCCAGATTCAGGGAGGATTTATTTTGGCTGTTTGTAGAGGTTGTGGTGATGTCTGCTGGTCCCAAGGCAGGACAGTGTGGTAGAGGGTGTAGCAGATGAGCAGCTGTGGAGAGCATGGCAGGCAGGCAGGCAAGCAGCGAGATCAAGGAGGAAGCTAGACCCTCCCCTGCTCACATCAGCTACAGACCCACAAGAGGAAGAATCCATGGATAAGGACTGTGCCTCTGTGGCCCCAGAAGCACCACCTGTGTGCGCATGACTGTAGTGCAGAACACGTAGATGGAGCCCCTAACAAGCCTGCTGCGCTGCAGCCTGAGACAATTCCTGTCATCAGTGGGGGGGGGGGGGGGGATTTCTTCAGTTGGGAGCCAGGAAGGAGCTGCAAATGGTCATAATGTGGTTGTAGATTGGGGTGTGGCAGGGAACTGAGGAATTGACAGGGTGTTCTTGAGACCTCCCTCCTGCCCAAATGTGTCGTAATATTTAATGATTATCTCTTCACAGTGCTGGGAATTGAAGCCACAGTCTAATACTAAGTAAGCACTACCACTGAGCAGTCCAATGGTTAATTTAGAAGTCAGAATTCAAGGCCAGCCCAAACTGCAAGGACTTTCAAATAAGGACAGCGAAAATGGCAAATTTTGTTGTATTTTACCATCCCTAACCCCTCCTTCATGTCCATTACAGGAAGCCATAGGCACTACAATAGCAAGGAATATAACCTGAGGATGTAGCTCAGTTGGTAGGGTTTGCCAAACATACACAATGCCTTGAATCCCAGCAACACACACACCCCTGAACTCTTCACACATTAACACTTTCTATGTCTAACCAGCTGCTCATCATCTATTTCCAAAATTGTCATATATCCCTGACAGACTTGTGGCTTTGAGTTTTTCTTCAAACTCGTATTTTTTTAGGTTGTCCTCAGGCAGTAAACTTCACACCATGTGTGGTATGGCCCAGGTTTTTGTTTGAATATCACCAAAGATATATTACCTTGGGTTGTTTTTTCCCCAAGAGATTAAGCTTTTTGTTGGTACTGGGAATCGAATTCAGGATATTGTGCTTGTCAGGCAGGCGCTGTGCCACTGAGCTATATACCCAGCCCAAGATTCAGCTTTTCTGGCAAAGTCAGTTTAATTTACAAATCTAATAAAAGCAATGAACCTTCTTTCTGGAAACTGTTCATGAATAACTAAAAAAAAAAAAAAAACAACAAAAAAACACCCCAAACCAATGATAATGCCACTCACCACAAAAACAAAATGAAAAGCAAGTTTATAAAGGATCAAAAACATACAAAATATGGAGGCTACTACTTGGTTGGCTATCTTCAAAATTTAGAGGACTGCCAACTGCTACTCTGCGTAATTCATGTCACATGGTTACAAAAAAAAAAAGACGAAGAACAATTTTTAGCCATTATGATTTATTCTCTACAATACTTCATTAAAGAGTTCAATGATTTGCACTCAGAAGTTATATAGCCAAGAGGCAACCAAGTGTGATACAAAGAATTGGTCTGAAATCTTTGCACTGAAGGCCATACAGTCTCTTGCTTCAGGGAAATGGGAACAAAAATAAAAAGAACAAGTAGATCCCTAGGCTCTAGAAATCTTGATAGAAAAAAAAAATCAAGTTAGTGAAATTGTAGATGTTAACAGCATGGAAAACAGATCATGTGCAAAATATTAACACCCAGGACTTCTTTTGTATAGATGTTTTTTATTATAAACAGTAAAATATATGTCTCAACTACAAACCTTTCATGTGGAAAGGATATCTAACATGAATTGTTTCAGTATTATGCAGCGAAAAAGTTTTAAGAACCTCACAGTGGAAACAATCCAACACTGACAAACTAGTGATCAAAGACACTCTTAATGTAAAACAAAGACAATTCATAATTACAGGGAAAATGTCCTAGCTGTGGGTATTATGAGACAAGCCAACTTTCCAGACCAAAAGGCACTCACAGCTAGGGATGAAACACACTCTGAACCCAACCAGAAAGTTGGGCTGGTTCCTTACAACAGTGGTTACCTACTGTTCAGTGGCCCAAGAACAGGGAAAGCAGCAGGCAGGAAGCACCTCCTTTGCTCTCCCTCCAGACGTTGGCATGTACCAGCCACCCTCGTTACTGCTTTGGTCAAGCAAGTGGAAGGCAGATCTGCTCCAGCTCGGAGCTGCCACCTCCCTATGCAAAGCTGCCATGTGGATGATCCAGACCAGGTATGTTTCCTGAGAGCCACCTCCCCAATTCTCTGAGGGCACCATGACCACACACTTCCAGGTGGCTTCCTGACAGGCTCTGGTCAGGGTGGATTCTGCTAGGTCCCATGTAGCTTCCCTTGGCTGACTTCAGAGCCACCTGACGAGACAGGAGGAGCTCATGCAGCTCCACTGCCAGATTTGTTAGGAGCAGAGGGAGTGTGCAGGGAGTAAGGCTTCTTCACTCCAAAGCCACTGAGCCTACTTCAGTGTGATGCTGGGTGTCACCAGCCCTATTCTTGTGCACTGATTTCCCCCCCATTTTGGGGGCTTAAAAATTGTATTTTCTTAAATGGCAGGTATCCTACCCTACCCTCAATAAAATAAAATAAAGTAAAATCAAATACATACTATACACAGGAGAAGACAAATAGGGCAACATTTCTACAAGAAAAATAGGCTTGAGGAGCATGGCACTGTAAATGCTTGCATGACCAGTCTCACTGAGCGTGCTCAGGGGTGAAAGTTTAGCACCAATTTTTTTGCTTTTTTTAAATCTTTAGAAATCAAACAACTTTTAACGTAGAACACTTGAACAGTAATGAGTGTAGCCCTATATATCAATACTGTTGTACAAATTGGAGTGGGTGGCCTAGTCCAGAGCTGACCACCCTGACATCAATCCATGGCACCTAAGAGTAACTGTTGTCACACCTATAACAAGACATTGATCATCCTCAGTAGCAGGACATCATGAGATGACCCCTACATCTTCCTCTACACTGAAGGGGACTGTGGCAGGCCATGGAAACCCAGGACGGCAATTAGGGGAGCACAGCCTGGGCACCCTGATGTCACCCAAGTCTTCCTATATTCCGCAGTCCTGCCAGCAGCACAAAGCTGCTTTCTCTGACCAATCCTTCCAGGAACTGAAGGGCAATGCCTTATACTGCGCTCCACCCCCCACTTCCTGGGATAAAGCGCCAAAGATCTCTAAACTTGAATCAATGCCCATCTTAGAAAGCCACACCAACAACACACAAACTAAAAAAGTAAAACGTGTTCACTGGGTTGACACCCAATCCACTAGTTCTCCAAGCATGTTTTGGAGAACCAGTGTAGTGTCCCAGGACCCCTCTTCAGCTGGCCATCTCTTCCTGTGTCACTAGTAGTGCCTGAGACCCAGCATGCAAAGCCTCGGCCAAGTCCCCCAGTTCTATGGCCTTTGCTACCACATGAGTGAAGAGTCACGAGAGAAAAGGATGTGAAAGGAAACGTCACATGGAAGTTTAAATGACCCAGGAAAAAACAATTTGGACTATGCTCTGGTGGGGTTAAAACTCCCAGCATGGTAGGCAAGATAAAGATTTACCTTGTTTAATTAAACAGCTTTGCTCTAGAGTCTTATCAGGGACAGAAAGATCACCAGTCTTCCTACTTTATGCAAACTAGAAAAGTGAACTTGCCTGCTTAAGAGTCCCTCAGGATGTTTGCCTGAAAAGAAAACCAGCTCAGAGACCCCGAATTTTCTATGCCAACGAGCCCAACCCAACTGCCCGATTGCACATCTGTGCTTCTGAAAACCTAGATCCAGCAATATAGGCACTGCTGCCAGTAAGGAGTGAGGTAGCCAGGTGGTGACGAAGAGGCCTCTCTCTTCACACCTCACACAGTGATGACACAGGCCCTCCCACGGGCATCTGCACTCCAGTCGTCAGCAGGCCACACCACAGAGCTTGACTTGATGCAGGAAGACTGCCGGACGATCCAACTGAGAGTGGGCTGAGAATGTTAAACCGTCGTGGCTCATGAGAGAGATCTGCAACACCATCCACAGGCTTCTGATCTTGGTGTGGGTCTCTGTCCAGGATCCTCAAAGGACTCATGGCGCCCACGCTCAACCCTAACATGGCGTCCACTTATGAAGCACGGAGGTTGTGATCAACTCTTTGTATGCAATAAACTGGAAGTTTAAAAAAAGGAATTTAAAACAACCTAAAAATGTTTCTTGTTGGTCTCCGTTGCCCAGACTGCCAGGGGAATACACCTATTTAATCTGGGAGGCTGTGGGTGTGTGTGGGGTAAACCTCCACGGATCAACTCTAATTCCAGTGTGTGGCCAACACACATGTGGCAAATCACCAGAGCAGGGTCTTCAGCACCCACACAGCGATTCTCACTAGTCATGGAGAAGCCCCAATCCAGTGGAACCCCATACTGAGGAAAGGCTGAGATAAGGCTTGGGCCCCTCAAGTTCTGTGTCATTCAGTGTAACCCCACACCCCCTCGGTCAGTGGCAGGCAGACTTGGCAACGGAAGCTAGCATCATAAAATGGTGCAGTAATAGAAGTAACTGGACCAGGAAGAGGAGGCATCTGCTCCAATGATGTCATAGCCATTGGTGGCCACAGGGGGGTGGGACTGGTCATGCAGCCGTGTGTCAGGAGTAATGATTGTAGAGGGGCGGGGCATGAAGAGTGCCATTCTGGAAACAGTGCTGTCGAGAAGCAATGTACTCTGCATAACTGATTGTCACCTTCTCACTTCGGTACCTGTATAAGGAAACAGGCAAGGATATTAGGAAACTCAAACACATCAGGTAAAGTCAGTCAGCAGAGAAAACCAAAAGCTTATTTCCACATTTTGAAAGAATAAAATGGAAGACCAAGAGCAATCTTACTTACAGAAAATGAAAGACGGCACAAGAAAACAATGTTGTTATTACAAATGAACAAGATGAAAAAGCACAATCACAGTTCACCCCTGAGAATGTACTCAGCACATCCAACCTTGAAACGCTACATATGCTTATCATCAGGCTGCTCATAAGCAATCTGCTACTGGGGTCTGGATGAAGACTTTCAAGGTCAAATTACATGGGTGGCAGATTGGAAGATGGCTACACCAAAACCCAGTGTAAATTGCACATCCACTTTCAGGTTAAAATGAGGTAAATTTGACAGAAATGCAACTTCAGTTTGCAGAAGAGCAACAAACAAGTTATCATAACTAAAAGGGGCACAGATACCTAATTCTGGGTCAAATTCTGATGAAGCAGGTTAAAGGATCCTTGGCTATATAGGACAGGTCTCAATCCCCAGATGAATATGCCATATCACAGGGTCATCAGAACAGAGTTCATAGCACTTTGGCTTTGCTCTGGAAAGAGCCATGAGTCAGGATGCGAAGCATGGGGTGTTACAAACCTATGGAGCCTACTACAGACCACAGGAGCTGGGTGTGACAATCCTTACCCAGAGCCATCTCTTTCCCACTGTAATCACTCCTCCACTGCAAGGTGGTTATTCCTGAATTTTGACAGGGAAATGGCTGTTCAAATAAATTGTAATAATAATAGTAATAATAATAATGCTTTGTATTTGAAGAGTGTTTTTTTCTTTTCTTTTCTTTTTTGGTGCAGGGGATTGAACCCAGGGCCTTGTGCATGCTAAGCATGTGTTCTCTGAGCTTCACCCCCAGACCCTTTATTTTTGGAATTCAAAGCATTTCAAAAACACTGGGTTGTCTTCCAAATAGACCTGAAAGGCTATTATTAGATTATTCAGCATTTTACAGATGAGGGCCCAATAGAAGCCCACAGAAGCTAAACCTCTCAGTGCTTCCAACTTCAGTAGGGACAGGAAGAGAATTGACATCTACTGATCACCTACAGTGTTGCCTGGCCCTGGGCTAGAAATTCTCCACACCTATCACATCCTACAACAACCCTAAAGGATTAGCACTCACAGCTTACAGACAGGAAACAGGCTCAGAGAGGTGAATAACTAGATCAGGTAACACAGCTAGTCAGTAAGCAAGCTACGATTCCGACCCCAAGTTCTATGATGTAAGGCACTCTCCCCAGAGAAGCACAGTATCCAAAGAGGGGAGGCGTATCCTTTTAACTTTCTGTAAAAGCACCCGACTCTGCTGCATCCTTCCCCCTGACTATACCTTCAGTCAGTAAATGGTGCCTTAGCTGGCCCTGGACTTTTGACACTGGGAGCCTCTTCTACTGACTTCTGCTCCCCAACCTCCCAACCATGTGGGTCTGGTGAGACAGTCCTGATTCTCAGCAGGCCTAACTCTTGCCCAAGCCCACCATCAGCCTGGCCGTGGAAACGCACAGGACGCTGAGGGAGTATGGCTTTGTTCATGCTGCTTCCTCAGAACTTAAAACCTTAACTATTTTTCTTTGTTTTAGGGACATTAGCTGAGAAAACTTTTTTCTTCCCATTCCCATCGAGAGTATTCTCTATCCATCCCCTGCTACATGAAAATAACAAGGAAAAGGATAGGAGCTTACCTGGTGAGTTTGATCGTTTTTCTGAATTCACTGGTAATTGGAGCCTTAAAGCCACCTTTCCTGAGTAAGGAGTCTATTGTCTGGATCTGATCCCAGTCTGAGAAGAGAAACCATACCAGGTCAGCACAGATGGAATTCAAGGAGCTGCCAAGTCTGCTGGGGGAAAGGAGGGCCTGGGCACCAGCTTATGATGCACCCGGAGCACCAGACAGCCCAGTGGCAACTCAGAAATGAGACAGCACACCACCAAGTGGCACTGTGACTGTCCCCAGGCTCTTCTTCTGTGTCTTTCCTATTAGGTATCACCAAGTGTAATCCGCAAGGGGCAAACATGGTCCCCACTTAGATTGGCTTGTTGCTCATGCTGGAACCCAGGGAATGCCCTGTAAGAAGGACTGACTGCTTGCCTATTTGTTTACTTATATATGACTGCCTGGGTTAGTTCCCAAGTAGCCAAGATTACAAGCACACACTATTAGATCCAGCTAGGAAAGAGATTCAAATTCTATAGCTTAGACTTGTTTGTTTTTGGTACCAGGAATCAAACTCACAACCTGGCACCTGCCAGACAGGCGCATGCTGCTGAACAGTATCTCCCTACAGCTCAGACTCTTTCGAGTAGCTTTTTATTTTCTTTTGGAGACAGGGTCTCACTATAGTCTTTTGTGTTAGTTTGTTTACTGCGACAGGGTTTCACTCTGCAGACCTTGAACTCACTGTGATATTTTTGCTTCAGCCTGTAAGTGCTAGGATTTCAGGCATGGTGTGGGCCACCACACCTGGCTTGACTGGCCTTTCTTGGTTGATGATTTCTAGGAGTTGTTTTCTATGACACAGAACTGATACCAGGCAAGTATTTCTTAGGAAGCATGGAAACATTTATACTGTTGAATACTGCCTCTACCCCCTACTTTTCTGCAGTGCTGGGAAGTGAACCCAGGCCTCTGCACTGAACTACATTTCCAGGTCTTTTTATTTTTTGAGCTACAGTCTTCCTAAGTTGCCCAGGTATAAGACTTGAACTAGTGATCTTACTGCTTCTGCCTCCCAGAATGTTGGGACTACTGCCATGTGCCACCATGTCTGCCAAGGCTTCCTTCTTATGCCACATCCACAGTGCTTTTGAAAAAGTTGAAATACAAACACAATAGGAACTAACACAGCTATCACTTTTCATATAATACATTTATTAATATACTCAATTAGTATATTAAAACTTTAAAAAAGACCCATTTCCAAAAAGAAAGAAAACTGGTTACATACCACAGAAAACAGAAGAAAGATTTAATAGCAGTTTTCTTCTGGATACGCTTTTAAAGAAAAAAGCTGGACCGGGGAGATGGCTCAGTAGAATAAGTGCTTCCCTGGCAAGCGCAAGGGCCTGAGTTCAATCCTCAGTTCAGCAAAAAAACAAAAAACAAAAAACTGCCCAAACTATTTCCTATCATTAATGTCTTCATTATAAGAATTCATTGAAGGGCTGGGCTTGGTGGTGGTCACCTATTCCCAGCACTCAGGAACTGAGGCAAGAGGACTGCTTTGAGTTCAAGGTCATCTTGAACTGCAGTGAAACCTGTCCCAAAAGATCCACTCCTAATCATTGTTTTGCAATAGGTTCAACATCATTAGGTAATGCGTTCTTTAAAAACAGGAGGGTGTATGTTTTACCTTTGCCAAGTGTAACATATTCAGTGATGCATGATCCGAAGTTCAACACTCACTGATTTGGGCAACTTCTCTTTATAATGAACTTTAAGGGGGTAAGAAATAAAACTATTACAATTGGGCAAGTAAAGACAATTTTCTTCCTCTTTTCTCAGCTCCTAGGTTTCTTAGGAGCTGATCCTGGTGCTGTAAGAATATGGTATTAAAGATGGGTGTGATGGCACAGCTAATCCCAGCACTTAGGAGGCTAAGGCAGAAGAATTGCTATGAGTCTGCTGCATAGCAATAACCTGTCTCAAAACAAAAAACAGCCTTAAAGGGAAAAAAAATACATGTTTCGTAACAACTCAACTGAAAATAAATGATCAGGAGCAGCTCTTCTGTGACAGGGTTTCACTGTGCAGTAACAACTACACCTCACTTTTGTGTCCTTTAAATGACATGGCTAGGGGCTGGGATATAGCTCATCAGCAATAAGCACCTGCCTGGCAAGCACACAGTCCCAAGTTTGATCCCAAGTACGGCAAATAAATGGCTAAACATAAAAGGCATGGCTACTAATCGCACTGTTCACTAAATGTCCATTTGTCCAACTCACCTTGCTCCTTAGCAACCTCAGGCAAGTATGTGGCTGTGCGTTTGACGCCTTTCTCATTGATAAATTCAATTCGAATTCCATGGACCCCTACCTAAAGATATAACACAGTAAATGACATTTACTTATTTTAATAGAATTGCACATCTACATCGACCCTGTTCTCTGATCAGTTTGACCCATGGCTGAGAAGGGAAGAACTTGCTGCTCATGACTAAGGGGTAAAGGGCAACAAAGTTCAGCTTCAGGGAAAGGTTGAGTACATGTGTGTTCACCTCCCTGAGAATATGAAGGTTGTAGAAGTAAAATTTTTAAATAGCTTACCCAATAATTTTGAACCTTGTACCTTTAACCTATTTCATAAATAAGCATAATGGATCACAAGGTTTTTAATGAGTTTATGGCTTGTTCGTTTTTCTTGAGACAGGGTCTCTCTATGTAGCCCAAGATGGCCTCAAACTTGCAGTAATCCTCCTGCCTCAGCTTTCAGGGTGGAATTAGAGGCATGTGCCACCACGCCCAGCCTGAGTTCATGATTCTTCTTGGTACCTGATTCCTAATAAAAACTTGTCCGTAAGGGCTTTTCAAAAAGGACCTGGACTATTTTATGTTATCCCATATTTATTAAATACAGAGGGAAACAGAGGAGACTGGGGAGAAATGGGAAAATAAAACTTCTATATTTCTCCCCACTCCTAATAGATCAGTACTTCTGTTACCTGTCTTGCCCACAGTGGTACCCAGTCCCCACACCTCAGGCCCTCTCTCAGTTGAGGAGACATTGCCATGTACTAACCCGAACCCAAACGCAACGAGTTGCAGAGTTCCAAATGCAGCTGCTCTCACCTCCCAGTCCAGGTAATCACTGGCATCCTCAAAGTTAGTAAGGAGGGAGACAGAGCAGAAAAGTTTGGGCAGCTCCTCTCGGGTCAGGGGGGGAAATCGGCTGTCCTTAAGTGCACTGCAGGGGGACACAAAATGTAAGTAAGGCTGCTCCCAGTCAGGAGTCAACATTCCACGCTACAGAGCCCATATAGCTATGAATCCCTTTTTTTTTTGGTATTTGAATCAAACTCAGGACCTCACGCTTGCCAGGCAGACGCTGCACTGCTGAGCTATATCCCCAGCTATGAATCCTGAAATATGTAAGATGTATCTGTCATCCATCAATACCACAAGGTACTATCTGTGATTCTATTCACTATGTAGATGGGCACTGGTAAGTGACACACCAGATTAAAGTGCTCACAGTTCCTGATTATTAGGAAGAGAATGCTCAGAATGCATCACTTAGAGATGAGGTCAGACAGGATTTCTTCCATGTCTAACCAGTTTACATACAGTTCTTAATGTCTGGTGTCATTACCTGGTTAATGTGTATTCCCTGAGTCCTGAGTGAAGATTCATGGCTGAGAAGGTCCCAATGCAGCCACGAAGCCGCTTGTCCCGCCCTGTCTTCCATGTCACAAAGAGCGGACTGAAAAAAGAAAAACATAAAACATTCTCTAGCCCCAAATTAATAATGGGTAATGTTCCTCTTCATCTGTCGATTGCCCAAAAAGATGGTATGAATTGTAGCTACTTGAAGAACTCCAGAAGTTGCTCGGCAGTGGCTAGAAACATAGAAAAGCCCCTGTCCTCAAAGGCTGTTGGTGTAGCCTTTCCGAGGCACTACAGCGAAGCTTCCATGAACGCTGGTACATTTATGTGCTACTCTTCTTCATTGCCCAGGGCTCTACTCTTTCTTCTAAGTCTCCTCTCTTTACTTTTAGGTAGCCATACTGTCCAGCTCTACCCTTCTTGGCAACATTCCTTGTCAGAATATCTCCACACCCAAGAGTCTGGGAGCATTCGCTACAAGCCCACATTGTTTCCATAATTACAGCTGCCCTAGTAGCTACAAATACTTCTTGCTCACAAGTTTTTCATGAAAGAAAAACAATGCCTTCTCAAAAAAACTTTTTATTAGCATAAGCTGTCAATTCTTTTGTCACTGTTACAAAAGGCTGCTAGCAAATCTCTCAGCTTGGGGCCAGGAAGATGGCTCAGTAGAATAGCAAGTGCAAGGGCCTGAGTTCAATCCCCAGTTCCTCCAAAAAAGAAAAAAAGCAAATCTCTCAGCTAGTCACAGTTCCTTCCAATAAAGTACCTGTATCTAACTGTGCATCATGTGCACCTACAACCCAAGCACTCTGAAAGGTGCTTGGAGGATGCAGGAGGATTTCAAAGTTGAGGCCCAACTTTAGGCAACTCAGGTCCTGTCTCAAAATTAAAAAAAAAAAAAAATTAAAAGGCTTGGGGATGTAGCCCAGTGTGAAGGCCCTGAATTCAGCTGCCACTGTCACACAAAGCAAATGTACAGTATCAACCAAAGCTACTGTTCCCCAAAACCTTGCAAGACCCCTTACTACCCACAGGATGAATACACAAAGTTGTGAATACAACAGCCTACACCAGTGATGGCAAGGCTTTTAGAGCTTTGAAGATACAAACAGCCAATGGCAGCACACATGCCTAGCCACGCACACCAAGGTTACCACCTGTCTATCTATCTACTTATTTACTTCTTTTCTACCTGTTCCTTTAAATTTGCTGTACAGGCTCTCTAGATTTTGACCTGGCCTGGAATCTCCCTCTGCTCAACTGGGAGTTTTCTAGTCACGGTAGCACATAGCTCACTACCTCAAGTTAAGTCAGCCCATTTCTCCATTTCCTGTCCTCAGACACACTCACTCACACAGAGACAAACTCCCCTCTACTACTAGTTAGCAATGTGGGTGACTTGTCAGCTCAATGCCAAGTACCCAAAGGCAAGGACCTTTTCTCTACACTCTTTTATCCTCATTCAGAGCTCTGCACAGCCCTCAGGGTATCAACACCTGAGACAGGAATGATCTTAGATCAATGGATTCTTCAAAAGCACTCCCCACCAAAACAAAAATCAAATGCAACAGTGTTCCCGAAAGCCAGCTGAGAGCTGCTTCCAAGTTTGAGGAAGAACACAGGAATACACTACTTTCACTTATATTTCACTGATACCTTTTAAAAGCATCAGCTCATACTACTACCACTACCAAAAAATCCAAAATCAGCCAAGACAAAGAGCATCAACAGCTCCCAATGACTGAGCTCCTTGTCTCCCTCCTGGCTTCAGATATTCACGAGTCACAAATCACTTGGACTTCAGTATTACTGAAGTGCCTAACAGTGTGGTTTCTAGACATGAGAGGTTAAATGACCTATCACCACGCCAACCTGGAATGAATATCCTGATCTCTAGATTATCTACGTGTATCCTCCAAACATAATCCAGCCGGCCCCTCCCACTACTGAACCCACTGAACAATTTAAAGAGCACCTGAACGCATCTCTTCACTGTGCTCTATGTTCAAGCTTAATCAGCAGCGGGCTCTTGGAAAGGAATGCACTCAGAAAGCTAGCTGCACTGTGCCCTCCACACAGTCCCCACACTCCCTTTACTCACTAGGGGTCATTGGTGAATCTAGGAAGTCGTGGCTGAGGGAAGCCGTAGAGGTGACAGTAGAGCACATCAAAGCAGTAGCAGCACATCTCTGCAGTCACCACCAAATTCTTCGTGGCATTGGCAGTTCCATTGGGCCGGGGAAGAGGGCTCAGCGCTCCCGATGTAGGATTCATCCGTGTGATGGGAGAGTTTCCAGGTCCCAGAGTTAAGTCCGACACGTTCTCCCGCCCACTGCTGTTGTCCACATGCTGGTGGTTTTGAAGAGGTCCTGAACTAGCGCTGGGGACAGTAGTGGACTGGCTTCCGTGACTGTGCGTCCCACTTGCAGACAATTTGGGCTTCTTGACCCCACAACAGCCTGCTGCCAACCTGGGCTCGAGTGGAGGAACACAACGTCTCTTTCCCATCCTGACTTGGTGCTCGTGGTCTGGAATGCTGCAGAACCCTAACCCAAAAGAGAACGGTTAAGTGCTGACTTGAATGGCTGAAAGGACAAGTGGCACACACCTGTAGCCCCAGCACTCTGGCAAGCTGAGGGAGGAATGAAAGTCTGAGCATAGCCCAAACAACTCAGGGAGACCTTCAAATAAAAAAATAGGGCTGGGGATGCAGCTCAGCTATGAAGGCCCTGGGTTCACTATCCATTTCTGGAAAAAGGGAAAGAAAAAAAAAAAAAAAAAAAAAAACCAAGAACAAAAATCAGAGAAAAGGATGTGCACAGACCAGGTAATCATCAAATTATCTTTTCTACTCAAACCTCTGGGTTACATGATCCAAAACAGTGGCAGAACAGGGCTATAAGAGCCTACACCTAAACCAGACTCCTAACTTTTCTTAAGGGGGACTATGAAATCTTGGTACAGGGGGTTAAATCCAGGCCTTTTGGACTGAGCTAGATGCCCAGCTGTTTTAATGTGATTTAACTGAGGACAGGGTCTTGCTGAGATCCTAAGATGCTAGGCTCATCAACTTTTTTTTTGGTACAAAAGAAAATCGAACTCAGAACTTTGTGCTTGCCAGGCAGGTGCTTGTGCCACTGAGCTATATCCCAGTCATCTTTTTTTTTTTTTTTTTTTGCAGTACTGGGGATTGAACTCAGGACCCTGTACTTGCCAGGCAAATGCTTATTCTACTGAGTTATCTCCCCGGCCCTTCAATTTTTTTAAATCCTCCTGAGTGCCTGGTCAGTTCTCCCTTCCCTGCACTCAGGGCAGAAGGTGGAGCTGGCCTGGAACAGTGCCTGCCCCTGATCCATCAAGACTGTTTGCTTTCTCTACCTTTTTTACAGGCTTCACATTGAATCATCTTATTTTTAAAGAACTTTAGAGGCATTTTCAAGCTTTTCCTTGTTAACCACATCTTCTCAGCATTTTCCTCATCTCTAACTTAAATCTGTGTGACTTCAGACCTAGACAGGAGCGAGGATGAAAAGCAATTAGCTGTCACTGTGAAAAGGGCACCTCTTCTACAGGCTCCCACCCGGCCACCTCCAAAGCTACCTGTTTACAGCCCCTCCCTCATTCTCTTTAATTCCCCTCTGAACTCACTCAGATTTCTATGCCTCTATATCCTTTCAAGACCCTATTCAAAAATTGCAACCAGGCAACCTTTACCCACACAAATAGCCCAAGCTTCATAGTCCTTTTGTGAGGTAGCCATTTCTGCCCTGTCATAGTCAGGGAGAAAAACACAAAGCCAGCCAGCTTTAGAAAATTTGTATCACATGGGAGGGGGGGAGCACGGCACAGCATTCCATATGATGTTATAAAGGGGAGGAAAAGGGGAGGAAGGGACACATATGTGCGTGTGGTGTTTTTGTTTTTGCCTTATTTGGGACTGAACCCAGGTCCTTCACATTGCTAAGGTTTTTTTTTTTTTGTTTTTTTAAGGCAGTGCCTAAGTTGCTAAAATGCCCCTAAGTAGGTTCAAACTTGTAATCCTGTCTCAGCCTCCCACTGTGCTGGGATTACAGGCATACATCACCATGCCCAGCTACACTTTATGCTTTTTAAGAAAAAAAACTTAAAACTATATTCTATTTGGGCATGGTAATACATGCCTGTAGTCTCAGTTCTCTGGGGAGGCTAATTCAGGAGAATCTTTAAGTTTAAGCTAGCCCAGGCAACTTTGAAATGTGAGGAGACACGGTCTCAAGAAATAAGAAAACAGGGACTAGTGGGATGGCTCAGTGGTCTAAAGCACCTACTTAGAACAAGCTTAGCAAAGCACAGGGACCGCGGTTCAATCTCCCAGCACCACATGCCAGCCAGCCCTGCCCCCTGGTGGGCTGAGCTGGCCACACACACACACACACACACACACACACACACACACACAAATAAATAAATAAATAAATAAAATTTTAAAAAAAGAAATAAGAAAACAAAAACAAAATCAAACAACAACAAACTATCTCACAGTGCTGAGGATATACCTCAGAGCAAACATTCTTAGTTCAATCCCCAGACTCCACCTCCAAAGTTTCTCTTTCTCAAATCAGGAAAACAAACCCTAGTTATTTCAATGTTAACACCAAAAATGCTGGTGTGATGGTGTTCCCCTGTAATCCCAGTACTCAGGAGACTGAGGTAGGAGGACTGCTGCTGAGAGTTCAAGGCCAGCCTGGGCTACTCAGCAAGACCCTACCCTGTCTCAAAAAACAAAAAGAAATTATAAAATTCTGCTGACTTGAACCAGGGCTATCTATAACTCAGTGGCACATGCGCATGCCTGGCAAGTGCAAGGTCCCAACTTCTATCCCTGGTACCAAAAAAAAAAAGAAAAGAAAAGAAAACAACAAAGAAGAATCTGCTAACTTGAAAGAAAACTGTGCTTTCTTCAAGATATTACAGAAGTAAACACTCTGGCACACATATGTACATACACATACAACACACACTATCTTAGCTATGTTTTCCTACTATTCGCGAGGGTAGCACTAAACTCTCCTAGCATGCTGCTCAGGTTGGCAACTGGACGTAAGCAAGTCCCTGTCCCAACTGCCCAATGTGCTGGGCCTCCCCAACCATAACTGTACGTATGTATCCATGCATGTATATATTTACTTATTTATATTTTTAGGGCCAGGGATCAACTCCGGGCCTCATCTATGCTAGGTAACCATTTTACCACTGAGCTAAATCCTGAGCCCTGTACACTTTTATTTTTTCTTTTTTAAGCACAATTCTACAACATAGTATTTTGGTTGTAAATAATTTATCTCTTCAGTTTCAATTAGATAAAATTTTTAAGAAGTATTGTTTTGGGCCAGGGAGATAGCTTGGTGGTCCAAGAGCTTCCTGGCAAGCACACAGACTCAGGTTTGATCTCCAGTACTGTATGCCGTGCTGAGCTGGCCACCAAAACTGGGCATGGTGGTGCACACCTGTAATCTCAGAGCTGGGCACTACAAGTCTGAGTCTGAGCTGTGTCAAGACCCTGTACCAAATAAATTAATTAAAAATGTGTTTAAAAAAAAAGTATTGGGGCTGGTGAGATGGCTCAGTGGTCTAAAGCACCTACTTAGAACAAGCTTAGCAAAGCACAGGGACCTCGGTTCAATCCCCCAGCACCACATGCCAGGCAGCCCCGCCCCCTGGTGGGCTGAGCTGGCCACACACACACACACATACACATACACATAAATAAAATTTAAAAAAAAATTTAAAAAAAGTATTATTGTCTTTTGAGACACAGTCTTACTACAGCTTTTTTTTTTTATTTTAGGGAAGGGTCTACAGGGTGTTTAGGGTCTCACTACTACATCAGACCGTAGTGGTCCACCTATTTACAGCCTCCCAAGAGTTGAGATTACAGGTGTGTGCCACCATGGCCAGTCTCAATTGCCCGTCTCAGCGTGCCCTGGGAATCGAACTCCTGGCCCCTGCTTGCAGGTGCTTTAATCTGCTGAGCTATCTGGCTGGCTCTACAGCTGGTTTTAAACTCACTATGTAACCCAGGCTGGCCTCTCTAACCCACTGAGATTCCCATGCCTCAGCCTCCTGAGTGCTGGGATTGTAAGAGTACACCATTATGCCTGGTTTGTAAGTATTATTTATGTGGTTCACATATGCATATCCTTGACAAAATGCACATCTCAGGCTCTTCTGGGTGAAATGAAAGTTGTTGTAGCCAAGGAATAATACTTTGCAGAGTTCAATGTCTGGCTTAAGATATGTTTCTTAAAAAAGAAACAAAACAGGCTTTGTTTTGAGACTTGTACGCTCGACATGATAAAACCAAAGATGAGGTAGACTAATTCTAACACTTGTCTTTACTTACACAGCTAAGAGGGAGCACGGGTTATGGTAAAAAATATTGCCTCTAAAGCCTGAGTTCAAATCCTGGTCCCTCTAAAACTGATTCCTCTCTTAGGTCAGACTGAGTCTGCAGCAGCGGGGAGAAAGAATTTTATAAAGGCCTGAAGCAGGGCACGGCATGTGGTAAGGTCATCACCCTCCCACTGGGGGGTCGCATCCAGACACCCAAGACAAGCCATGTGCACAGGACGCAGTTAAGGACTCTAGGGAATCCTCTAAACCTTCAGCCTGGCAGACTACATTACCATGATTTTATAGAGGGACTTCAGGACACAAGTAAGAACCTGCCCAGAGCCACACTGCCATTAAGTGGCAGGCCTATGATTTGAATCACAATCTGTCTCACCAAGCCACACGAAAATGAGACCTGCCAGTACAACAACTGCTACTGGATTCAGCCCCTCTCCTAAGGGTATGAACGCGCCCCCCCAAAGGGCAGGGCTTGGCAGTGCAGCCAGTAATCCCAGCTCCCAGCATCTGAGAAGCTGATGCATGAGGACCCCTATGAGTTTGAGACCATCCTGGTGGGACCTTACGCCAAAAAAACAAAACAAACCACATCCTGGGATGTACAATACAAAAAACAAAACAACAAAAAAACCACCCCACAAATCACTGTACAGAAGCTTGCCAACAAAAGCAAGTAGGAAAAAAGATTATCAAAACCCAAAGCCCAAAGTTGACATTTCAGCTATCACCCAGAAAATGATAAGCACTCCCCTGCATTCCTGTCAATAGAATCCATCACGGATGCTGTGGCCAGGGCTCTCACCTGACTCTGTTTACCTCACACTTAACTATGGGCCACGTGCAGGTTTGCTTTAAGGCACATGTTAGGATGAAACAGCAGAACTAATCCAAAAATCTGGCAGTCAGCAAGAGCAATGGAGTTCAGAGGTTCTGCCTCTGAATTCAAAAAATTCAGAATTCAAAGAATGGGATGAAACATTAAGATTTAAGAAAGGTCTATTAAAAAAAAAAAAAGAAAAAAAAGTCTATTATTTTCATTATACCAAATCATACCTGAAGGAAAAGCCAACTGTCATGAAATTCAGGTTTTCCTCACTTAGCAACCTGATCTGGTGAAAGACCCTATAGCAGAACAACAAAGGAGGCTTTCAAAGCA